AGAAATGTCTCTGATATCAGCCACAGCAACATTTTTCTAGACATGTCTCAGAGACAAATGAAATAAAAGCAAAAATAAACTGTTGGCGCTATTTCAAAATAAAATGACTCTGCAAAGCAAAGGAAACAATCAACAAAATCAGAGGGCAACCTACAGAATGGGAGAAGATATTTGCAAATGAAAGGGTTAGTATCTAAAATATATAAAGAACTTTAAAAATTCAACACCCAAGAAATCCCAAATAACCTAATTAAAAATCAGCAGAAGACATGGACAGCCATTTCTCTAGCAAAGCTATCCAGATGACCAGCAAATATATGAAAAGATGCTATGCATCACTCATTATCAAGGAATTGCAAATCAAAGCTACAGTGAGATATCACCTTACACCTGTCAGAATGGCTAAATCACAAAAACACAAGAAACAATAACTGTTGGTGAGATTACGGAGAAAACAGAACCCTCTTACATTGTTCATGAGAATGTAAACTGGTGCAGCCACAGAAGAAAACAGTATAAAGATTCCTCAGAAAGTTTAAACTATGATCCAGTAATTACACTACTAGGTATTTATCCCCAAATACAAAAACACACATTCAAAGACACACATGCACCTCTACATTTACAGCAGCAATATCCAAATTATTGAAGCAGACCAAGTGCCCCTTAATTGATGAGTGGACAAAGAAGATGTGGTATATGTATGCAATGGAATGTTATTTAGCCATATAAAAGAATGAAATCTTGCCATTTGCAATGGCATAGATGGAGCTAGAGTATATTATCCCAAGTGAAATAAGTCAGAGAAGGACAAATACCATATGATTTCATTCAAATGTAAAATTTCAGAAACAAATGAACAAAAGGAAAAAAGAGATAGAGACAAACCAAAAAACAAACTTAACTATAGAGAACAAACTGATGGTTACCATATGGAAAGTGGGTTGCAGGGGGCAGGGGGCAGGGGGGTCAGTAAAGTAAGTGATAGGGAGTAAGGAGCATTCTTGTCATCATGAGAACTGAATGTTATATGGAATTGATGAATCACTAAATTGTAAACCTGATACTAACAGAATACTGTTAGCTATACTGCATTTAAAAATAAATTAACTTTGTAAAAACAAATGAAGATTATATAAACTTTATGACAAATTTCAAGGAAATATTTTTAAAATCTCAATATAAAGATCCTCATCTCTTAAAAATTAATTATTAAATAGCTTTCCAGAAAGAGAATTTTAATTCCATATGACTACACTGGTGAATTTCTATCAAATACTTTGTGAAGAATTAATATCAATTTTGCAAAATCACTTTTAGGAAATTTTATGAGTCCAATATTACCCTGGTAATGAAACAAGTCAAAATAATACAAGAAAAAAACAACCTAAAGCCCAATGTCTCTCATAAATATAGGACCAAGTATTAAAGGGGAAGTCCAGCAACAAGTAGGAGAAATACATAAAAGGGATTATGAATCATATCCGAAAGTGGATCATCCCAGGAAAACAAGTTATTTAAACAATTGAAGATCAATGAAACGCATTTCAAAATATCAACTGAAAAAAGTAAAATAAACAATACCTAATCATCTTAATATGTAATGCAATCTATTCATGATGGAAACTGGCAAACAAAGACTAAAAAAACAACTTCAGTCTGTTTAGAAGCCTCTGTGAAAAACTTTATTTAATGGTGAAGGATTAAAGATTTTGCCCTTAAATTAGAATCACAACAAAAACAGCCACATATTCCATTTCTATCTTATATTGTATTGGAGGTCCTAATTGTTGTAAGGCAAAAAATAGGAATTGAAAAAAATATGAAGATTGAAAAAAATGTAAAACTGTATATATAATAAATGATTATACATGTATAAAATTCTAATAAAGCTAAATTAAAATCCCAGAACTAATAAGTTATTTTAGCAAATCTATAGTAAACAAGTTCAACGTAATCAATAAAATTTCTATATACTTGTCACAATTGGAAATTTTATAGTCATATAAAGAAGTGCAATTAGAAAGAATAGTAAATGTCTATTTATGTACACCTAATAATTTCTCCAAAGGAAAAAAAATTGAAGAAACACTGCATTTTGAAGAGTTCTAGCCATGATGAGAATAAGTCAGGAATCTCAACAACAACAAAAAAACTACTTTCAAAATTGTACAAAGAATACTTTAATAATATTTAGGAGGAGGTGGAGGCTCCAAGGGGCTATTAATAGTTCAGATCTTCTAGTTCTTTCTGTCATTTCCTCACCATTATAAACCATAATAATCATTGCAGCTGGTATCATAAGCAATATATCATTATTGCAAAAACTGTAATGCAATCAAAGAGGAATATTTAATGAGCATTGTTCACCTTTATTATATGAAGTACATACAATATGATCTGTCTTTGAGATTAACCAGAAAAACAAAAGCAAAACAAAAGGCATAAACTTGATTGCAGGAAATTTATTTGAGACAGGACACTAGGAAACAAGATTAAAGGAGTCGGAACCAAGAGAGAGAGAATGAGGAAAAGTCAACATAATTCTGTTGTATTGAGATGGCAATTGTGGCTCCATTCTGCTGGGACCACAAAAAAATGTACAGAAGACTTAATGGATTTGTACTTAGATGATCAGGGAGCTGGTATTCCAATGAAGTGGCTGAAGGCTGCCCCACTGAAGAGGTGATTACTTTTATTTTAAGGCGTCTTTTACTTATTTTGCCTAGGGAAGAAGCTGGTTGGCATTCATGAATTTTACAATGTTGACCTGGTCATTGAGTGCTTCTTGTGGGACTTGAACTTAAGATAGATATAAAGCTCTGCATACGTTGTGCCTACTTGCATTCCTCTTCCTCACCTTTCTTATCTCTAAATGTCCAAGCTTGTGCTATCTAGATCCTTGACCAAATACCATTTGCCATTGTCAAGGCTATGTAGATCCCAACCTGTGGCACTTCTCTAATACAAGATGGAAAGCTAAATGTATTGTATGCAAATATGTTCACTGTGATTGTCTTAATCTAATTAGAGAATAGTATGAATACTGATTTTGTTTTTCAAAAAAAGGATTCCATCTAACATATTGAAAGGACCTGTTCTTGAAATAAGACAGGTTTTTTTTTCATCTACAGCCAGTTTTAGGGAACCCTATGTGCCATTGATGCGAAGTGACTGAGATACATTGGTGCAATAGATGTAGGTGACACAGAGCTCTGGGATTCCTATTCATCTTATTTACTTACACTGTCTGGATATTTTTATTAGCTACCAGATATGCTATTTTGATCATTAGATTAATAGGCCTACTATCTAATTATACAGGCCTGAAAATGCCCAAATTATTATGAAAATAATCAATTTTAGTAACATAGTCATTTACTAGTTTCTGTATGTGTGCTCAGCCCTAGAACTCGAGGGAATGGCAATACATATCTTCTATGATACCAGAAATTCCACATGTAACCTAATCTAATCTATCATGAATATCTTTATTTTTTCTTGTCTCCTAATGATCTAAGTGTCAAAGGGGAAGCATCTTGCATCACAGCATGGATCTGTAGTGAGCTCTCTCTACATAACTGTTAAACCTCTCTATACCCGCTAAAGGTATCTTTGTTGTCATCAAATCATGTATTGTTCCAGATTCACAATTATTCCAAAAAGGATTGTTTTCTACAGTCCTTTCTTTTTTTTTTCAATTTTTTATTTAAATTCTAATTAGTTAATATATAATGTAATATTGTTTTCAGGGTTAAAATTTAGTGATTCATCATATACATATAATAACCCAGTGCTCACCACAATAAGTGCACCTTAACACCAATCACCACATTTTGCCCATCCCCCCACTCACCACCTCTCCAGCAACCCTCAGTTTTTTCTCTATAGTTAAGAGTCTGTTATATGGTTTGCCTCTTTTTCCCCCTATGTGCATCTGCTTTGTTTCTTAAATTCCACCTATGGGTGAAATCCACAAATGATATTTGTCTTTCTCTGATTTATTTCACAAGGCATAATATACTCTAGCTCCATACACAGGGTTGCAAATGGCAAGATTTTTCTCTTTTTGTTTGCTGAATAACATTCCATTGTATACATATATACCACATCTTCTTTATCCATTCGTTATTCAATGGACGTTTGGACTTTTTCCATAATTTGGCTATTGTTGATAACGCTGTTCTATAGCCCCTTCTGAGATGACTATTTTCATGAGTTTCTGCCAAATCAGAGTCTGAGATGAAAATGTGAGTAATCATTTCCTAGGAAATGATTGTGGAAATAGAAGTGAGGGAATGGAGAGAATGTGATGTTATCAACTGCTGCTGTCAACAATGGGGCTTGATTTTCTAAGACATATGAGAAGCAGAAAATGGCTATGAGACTTGTCCTTCAGAAAGATAAGAGACTGGCTCTTGTCAGACTGGAGGATCATTTCCCTAGATCCTCTACATGGGCCTAATTCTATAAAGTCTCACCATTGTACTCTAAGAATAATGATGATAACAAATTCACTAGATCTTTGAGGCTTGGGAAGGATACTGGTAAAGGGCCCTCCTTCTCTAGTAAAAAAGAAAAACCTGAATAACAGCATCTCTGAAATCAGGAGATACCAAGAGTTCAGGCTGAGTTAAGGCAGAATGAAAGAGATTCATGCAGACAAGACCAAAATAATAAATAATTCTTGTACAGTGATCTCAAGCCTATATTTGGCTTACCAAATTATGCATTAGATTATAAAATCATGCATATGGCACAGCGATAAACCTAAAATTAGAGTATGTGACAAAGCGATTGTATCAGGTTACAAGTGACAATGACGTAGATATGCAGCGTGGGCATTGGGATACATATTTTGACTTGGGAATTGTTGGACATAGCTTATATTTGACCATTATGACTTATTTTAGCAGCCTAGACTTTCTTAAACTAAATACACCAGACTTATTTTTATATAAACTATGTATGTAAAGCATATAAAAAGTAAAACATCTTACATTGCTTCTGGGTTCATTATGCAGACAGCTCCTGGGCACTGGCATTTGTTAATGTCATCATAAGCTATTCCCATGCTAAGACTCAGTAATTGAGCTATAATAACTGCAAGTGATTCCAGACTTATGGTCCTGGGATGCTGGAAAAAAACACATACATGTACACATTCACATTTCAGAAGATAATTCTTTACCTAGAAAACAATGTAATTATTAAAAATAGTCTATAAAATTGAATAATCTAATATGTTAACCCCAAATGTGCCATCTATATTGGTAACATGTTACAGGTACCATTATTAGTATAAGAAAAATATTGCATCAATAATTAATTATAATAGCAATAGTTATGGTCATATTTGTATTCACTAAAGAAAATCTTTAGATATACACACAGTGCCAAATTACTAACAGGTTATGTTCACTTATAATTTAATTATTTGGGGATCATATTTTAGGTGAATCTTCTGTATGTTTAAAAAAATCATAAATTAATCCATTGAATTAGGGTAAATAATGACTGAAAATAAGAATGCTGACTTAACAAGTACTTAAACTTTATTTTCAAAACTAAAATATTTTTATTATTTTTGTTTTTGCAAATGTATGATGCTTATTATAGCACATTTTGACCATACTAAAATGTATGAAATTTAAGAAAAATCCAAAAATCACACTATCCCTTCAGATATATCTAATAGCATTCTGTTGAATATACTTGAAGATTGGTTTCTAGGAATAGATTTTGGTATCTTCTATTTGTCTCTCTAAATTAACTTTCCAGCATTTTTCACATTGCCCTCTAGCCCAGTAGGTGACTCCAATGAATTATGTTAAAGGGTTCCTTTTACCTTGATTTGGTCTAAAGAGGGGAACAGGCTGAAGAGCAAGGTATTTATTACCATCATTGCCAGGATGCCTATATCAGTCAGAATCCTTCAGTGAAGACCTCTACCTTCCGTCTGTGACCTTAGTAAAATGGCATTGTCCTTTCCTTCAAGTCTGGGTGACAGTTAAATTTTCATGTTCCTAGCCCTAAAGTACTACAAAGTTCCTTCATCTTGCATTACACATTGACAGATATTCCTTTTTATCAAATTACCACAGTTGAACATACCACCCATTTTTAGACAGAGAGAAAAGAGGAGGGTAAGGAATAATGGAGAAGAAATCGAAGGATTCTGCTACATTTCAAGAATTTAAATAATAGGAAATTATAAAAATAATATTATATGATTACTGTAGTTATTTATAGATTTTCTTGTTACCAGGATATTGTAGAAATTGTAGAAAGGATCTAGCAATTATTCAATGTATCTTTATAACATTTCTTATTCAGTATCTATTCTGTTCCCTGTTATCTTTCATAGCTCCATAAGGTGAAAAAATGATCCACAAATTTCACTTTAGTTATGTGTGTAAAAGCAATATCTTCTCCCCTCCCCATGCAACTGCAACTCTATTCTCTATCTTCTTACTGCATGTATTTTCTCTATCTCTATCTGAATATATTTTAACCTTTCCTTTCATTGTATGATAGGATCAAATACATGGTTTAGTTTTGGGGATGACCTTTCTTCACACTCTTGTTATGACAATCTCAAAATACCACAGATTTAGGTGAGTTAAATAACAACTTTATCTTCTCTTAGTTCTAAAGATTAGAAGTCCAAGATCAAAGCACCAGCAAGGTTAGTTTCTGGTGAGGTTTCTTCCATGGCTGTCCTTTTGCATGTCTTTTCCTCTGTGTACGTAGACATGGGTATCTCTGATGTCACTTCCTCTTTTTATAAGAACACCAGTTCCAGCAAATTACGGATTCATTCTTATGATCTCCTTTAATCTTAAATTGTCTCTGTAAAGGATAGCTCTCCTAATATAGTCACATGGGGGTTAGGGCTTCAATATGAAATTTAGGGGAACAGAATTTAGTCCATAACAGACCAGTCTGAAAAACTTGAAAAAGGTATGAAATGGAGTACAAACATTTCCTACAAAATATTGTTATGATTACTTCTGTTTTGAAAATAAAGTAATAGAAGGAAAATTACATTTAACAATGGATTTTTAAAAAATATTTTAGGAAAAAACTTACAACTAAGCAGACAAGTTTCTTTCTGCAAATAATACCTGCTTAGGACAATTGTAAAATCATAACAACAATGGCTGACAGCCATTAAGGCTTCTCATGTGCAAGTCACTAGAATGAAAAAATTTGCAATAGGTATTGAGACTTCCTTTATTGTGAAATGTGTGATTATTTTCTATAAATGTGCCTGCCACTTATGCTTTGTAAAAACTTCTAGTCTCTACCTGTAGGAATCAAGATTCTATATATGCCTTTTAGAAAAAGCTTGCTAATATTTTTCAAATCTTCTAAATTTTTCTCTGAAAAATTACTCATTCAAGTACAATTTACTTGAGCCAGGGGCTCTTTCAATGTTTGTTTTGTATATTTTATAGGTATTTAGTTAGGTATACATGATTTCAGGTTTATTATATAAAGTTGGTAAAATTTTGTTTATCCTAAATAATGAATCACCTAAAATTTATATCTATTTCACTTAGAGAACATGTTCATATTAATACTGATACATTAATTTTTTGGCTTGAAATTCTGTATGTTTATACTCTTCAGGGTTAAATTTTCTGGCATTATATATAGGTTTGGAACATAAAAGAGAATAGAATCTGATCATTTTTAATAGTTGAAATTTAAATATTTTTAATCTCTTTTGTTTATTGCCTTTTCAAAATTAATAACAACATTTTATTTTGTGTAATGGTTTCATGCTGAGTGTACAAATCTAAAGTGCCTTGAAATTTTATGTAGATATACACATATGTATATATAGAATATTTATTTATATGTACATATATATTCATATATAATTATACATATTACATGTACATATGCTTATACATGCATATTTATGAAGAATGTATGTGTCATAGACCTGCGTAATTACTGTACTCTTCAAGGTACAGAATGTTTTTATTACTCAGGAAGTTCTCCCCAGCAAGTTTCCCAGCATTACCTCTCTACCAAATGTAACTTCTATTCTGACTTTTGTTGGGAGCCATTCTGAACTCATGAGTTGAGAAAACTCCTTTTGAGGTTAAGGCAGGTTTGCAAGGGCTCCTGCTATCAGATGATGACTGATATTTACCCCTACTTAATTGCTTCTGCTTGAGCACTAACCCCCCCTCCCCGAGGCATCTTGTTGATTGGTATCAGGAATGACTTATTCTGGCCCTGATATGCAGATTGCACCTTGTTAAAGAACTTATTGTAGGAACTTCTTCTTTTGTAGTTATGGGAGCAGGCATTGTGTTTCCTGAGGATCCTGTTTTTCTTAGACTTCCCCTTAAGCAAACAGGCTATTGACCCCTGCTCACAAAGAACTAACTTTTGCCTTTGCTATGCTAAAAACATTGTCTTGTATTTGAATGCTAAAAATACCTTCCTTCCCCAGATGATAAGCATCTAAACCACCTACATCAATCACTATTGATAAACGTTATGCATGAGTCTTCTATAAATCTATGTTCTGGTAAATTTTTACATATCAAAGAAATTTGTCATCAAAAATCATTGTCTAAGGCAAATGCCACTTCCGTGCTGTTCCCCACACACCTAACCATAAATAAAGCTGAGTCTCAGTCAGTGCAGAGATGCCTGCCTCATGATCAGAAAGAATCTCGGGGCTCTCTCACTCCTTCACCAACACCGTCCATCCTTCAGGGACCCCTGGACCAGCTGGAGCGGGATTTTGGCAAACTTTTAATAATTTGGCTTATTTTTAAGCTACACTTTAGCTTCACAAAAATAGCATCATGAAGTAAATATCCTTTTGTTTCTGGCTTCTTTTTCTCAACCTAGTTTTGAGATACATCAATATTTCCATCAATATTGAATAGAGCAGCAGTTTTTTTTCATTGCTTACATTATATGAGTAGACCACATGTTTATCCATTTCATGGATAAGAGGACTTAGTACTGTTAGAAATTCAACCTCCCTCAAATTGACGTAAAGATTCAATTCAAATACCAATAGAAATCCAATAATTTGTTTGTTGAAATTGACAAGCTGATTTTAAAACAGAAATGCAGAGAACTTAATGTTGCTAAGTTAGTCTGAAGAAGTAGTTGTAGGGTTTTTACTACAATTGTTGATTATACATTATAAAACTATAGTTATTAAGACAATATGGTATTTGTGGAAAGACAGACCAATGATCATTTTTAAAAATCCAGAAGAGACTAGGAATATGATGATCTGATTTTTATAACAAAAGTGCCACTCTAATTGTCAGAAAAATAGCTCTTTAGTGAGTGATTGCTTATTTACTGTGAATAATCCTGACCCCTAATTCACACCAAATTATTTTAATGAGGTTTATATAGATCTATAACTGAAAGTTAACAACACGTTTGTATTAGAAAATATAATGATTAGCTTCAAGGCCTTAGGGTGGGCAAAACTTTCTTGAAGGTATTCCTTTTTCTATCTTAAGTGCTGAGAGTTATTCTCTCTCTTTTTTCGCCATAAATGGGTTCTAACTTTACAAATATTTTCTCTGCACCTATTATTTCTTTTAGTATGGTAAATACTAAAATGATTTTCAAATGTATAATTTACCTTGCCTTCCAGGAATAAATCCTACTTGGGTCACATTGTGTTATTCTTCTGATAGATTACAGAATTCTATCTTTGCTAACATATAGTTGGCATAAATCTCAATTCCTACAAAAAACTAAGAAACAGCCCCTCCTTTCTATTCTCTAAAAGAATGTGTTATACATTGGTACTAAAACTTTTGGAGATATCACATCCTCAAGAGGCAATCTGAGTTTCCGGTGTTGGCTGAATTTTTAGTGTTATTTAAGATCCAATTATTCCACGAGGCCCTGGGTGGCTCAGTGGGTTAAGCATACAACTTCTGCTCAGGTTATCTCACAGTTAGGGATTTGGAACTGCACATTGCTTCAGATCCTCTGCCAACCTCTTTCTCTGCCCTTCTCCTGCTTGCACAAGTGCATGTACGGCGCTCTCTCTTTCAAAAATAAATAAATATTTTAAAAGATTCAATTATTCCAATAGATCAATGATTATTCAGATTTTCTTTCCTATTATTT